GCTCATCGAATGCTCTGAAATACTTATGGTGAGGCCGCTATTAGTGAAAGAACGTGTCGTGAGTGGTTTCAACGCTTCAAGAACGGTGATTTTGACGTCGAAAACCAGCATAGCGGTGGAAGAGAGAAGGTTTTCGAAGATGCAGAATGGAGGTATTATTAATCAAGACTCATGTCAAAATCAAGAAGAATTGGCACGATCATTGGAAGTGACTCAACAAGCCATTTCAAAACGCCTCGAAGCCATGAGAATGATTCAGAAGCAAGGAAATTGGGTACGAGTTGAAGCCGAGAGATTTTGAACGGCGTTTGTTTGCTTGTGAACAGCTGCTTGAAAGGCAAAGACGGAAGGGATTTCTGCATCGCATTGTGACTGGGGAAAAATAGGTCCATTACGATAACTCCAAGAGCAGAAAATTATGGGGAGTTCCCGGCCATGCTTCCACGTCGACGGCCAAACCGAATATTCACGGCTCCAAGGTCATGCTCTGTATTTGGTGGGACCAGCTCGGCGTAGTGTATTATGAGCTGTTAAAATCGACTGAAACAATCACAGGCGATCGGTATCGAACGCAAATGGTGCGTTTGAGCCGAGCATTGAAAGACAAACAGCCGCAATACAACGAGAGACACGATAAAGTGATTTTGCAGCATGACAATGCTCAACCCCATGTTGCGAAAGTGGTCAAGACATACTTGGAAACGTTGAAATGGGAAGTCCTATCCCACCCGCCGTATTCTCCAGACGTTGCTCCCTCTGGCACACTGCCTGGCTGACCAGCACTTCCGGTTTTATGAAGAAGTAAAAAATTGGATCGATTCGTGGATCGCGTCAAAAGATGACCAGTTTGTTCGATGCGGGATTCGGACGCTGCCCGAAAGATGGGAGAAAGTAGTGGCCAGCGATGGACAATACTTTGAATCATAAATGTATAACCAGTTTTTTACAATATTGCCTCGAATTTCGGAAAAAAACGGCGGAAGCAATGTAATAAATTCTTTAATATCAACCGTGCGGCGCGGTGGCGTTCCAACGCACAGACTGGAGCGATGATCGCGACGACGGTTGATCTTATATATATATAAAATTTATTATCTATATAATCCATTCGAATTCCAATTTGAGATTTTCAGGATTATTTCAGAATTGAAGAGCGAATATGATGAATTATTTTTTGAAACTCTAAGTTGGTGAGCTGATGACAAAAAATGCATTTAAAAATTATAAAGAATAAAAAAAATATTTATTCAAAACAAATGTATATTTAAAAATAACCAAAAAATAGAACAATTTATAATCTTTAAAATTGATCTCTTGTATTTCTTTCATTCGACTCACCGTTTCGGCAGTACAATCATTTGAATATACACACAAGCCACATTTTTCATCAATTATTAAAACTTAAAGGTAAGCATAACTTCGTGAAAACATTTTTTTAATTTTTTTCCCGAAACACTTATCTCATTTTTTTATGTCTAGAATACGTCTACAAAATTTTAAAACAATCGGAATGTTTGATTTTTTTTTTATCAAGAATTGCTCGGTTTGACGTAGAATGATCGATATATATACAGGGTATTTGATAATTAATGAAAAATCTTTTGCATAGGGGCAAAATGGACTAAACTGAAAAGAAAAGTCCTTTGCCATTTTACAATTGTCGTAATAGTTAACAAGATATTAATTACTAAAAATTGTCGAAAATTAGTTTTCAATAATTTTTTACTCAAATACTACCAGCTTTACAGAAAACCTACAAGAAACAAAAATTGTTTACTATATTCTCATAGAACTCTACGAATTTTTTCAGAATTTTTTATCAACTTTTTAGTATTGCATTTCTTATTTTTACCAACATGAGAAAATACAGTATTAAAAAATTCTAAAAAAATTTTCAAAACTTTATGAGAAGAAAATAAACAATTTTTGTCTCTTACAGTTTTTCTGTAAAGTTTGATAGTTTTTTAGTAAAAAATTATTAAAAACCAATTTTCGGCAATTTTTATCAATTAATATCTTGTTAACTATTGCAAAAATTGCAAAATTGTAGAGGACTTTTCTTCTCAGTTTAGTCCATTTTGCCCCAATGCAAAAGATTTTTCATTAATTATCAAACACCCTGTATACAATATATAGAGGAAGGTCACCGATACCGAAATACCACTTTGTTTTTAGACAATATTTCTTAAACAAAAGGTAAAAATACAACTTCAAAAACATAAATACAAAATAAAAAGTGTCTTGTATCAGATAGTATAAGCAATTTTTATATTACTGTTTGCAATTTTGCAGTAATTAAATTTTTTGTAAGTTATCCAAAAATGAGCGTCTGACAAAATGGGCTCCGAAACTGACATAGTAGGCAATAATACCAACATTCCTATTCTATAAATAAAGATATGCCCTATTCTGTAAAGAAAACTAATTTATGAAACTATAAACATTTAAAATAAATTACATAATATTATCAATAATACAGTCATTATTATTTTAATTACGCAATTTGCAAAAGAACATCGTAAGAACTTTCTTCTCGGATTCATAGAATTGGTTTTTAGCTGATTTGGTATAGAAATAAGCCACAAATATATGAATTATAAGTTTGTACTTCTTTAATTTGCTAAACAGATCATGATTTTATTAATATTAATAAAGTGCAAAAGTTAGTTTCTGAAAAATAAGGGGGTGTCTTTAGGAGACCTATGTCAGTATGGGCGACTTTTCTCTATATATCGGAAAAGACATTAAAAATGTAAAAAAAAGTATCAAGTATATTTTGCAGAAAAAAGATACTAAAGATAACGCCATAAAAAAAGAATTGAAATCAAAATAATATTTCAAGTATTTCTATTTAAAAAGTCCCATAGAACACAGTTCTCCGAAGGGCATTTTGAAGGCATCCTTATGATGTAGGCATCCTTTGGACACCTTTAGAAGACTGTATGGAATAATTTTTTTTTCTCATAATTATAATATACTACACAAAGTACGAATGACATTTGAAGTGTATTAAGTATAAGAAAACATTAAAACTAGAGAATAAAATGCAATAGATAGCGTAATGAGAGGCGCAGAAACTGAAAAGGGATTTTTACATCGATAACAAGTACAAAATTATAGAGATAAAAAATTGAAAATGAGCAAGATCTCCAGAAACAGCAGCAGCATACTTGACGCGCCCGTATTGTTCATAATTCGATACATGCAAATAATTCAATAAATATTTTATTATAATTATAAACTATTTTTCGTAAATTAAAGAAGTTTCATATATGTATATTTAAGTTATTATTTTATTGATTGCTTTAAATATTCTGAAGCAGCTATCTACAATATGTTTCAATTCGCTGACTTACGAGAATTGTTGTTTCCTTTTTTATTTTTGTATTTCTTAATGATCGATTTCACAGTTGACTTTATGATTGACACTGCGAACGTTATGTCGTCTTGAAATTTATTTAATGCAGCTTTTTTGTCAACTGAATTTATGGTTTACATATTTTTGTGCAGTTATGGTGTATAGTAAGTAAATCTCCATATAATTTGTGGTCTTCTAATATTTGTCTCTAATGATATTTTGTTTGATTTAGTTGTCATTCAGTTAATCAACTAATTGAGGGTTACACACACTCTCCGGATAAGGTAATCCGTGAGATTTACTTACTGCACTCCATGGCTTGAACTTTGGATCATCTTCTTGTTAGGATTAAGAACTGCAAAATGCTGAAGATGGCTTGAACATAACCGAAACGTTCATGTAACAGACATTTTTGAATTATATGTTTATATAAGTACCGCACAAATTACTGCATTTTTTTAGGCTCTTAATTGCCCGTTATTTATTCTTGTGTATTTATTATTTTAGTATTGATATATTTTATATTAAACAGATGCACATACAAACATTTTTCTATGAGATAAAGAAAAATTTTTAATATTTCTTAATACTAAACTTTTAACTTTTAAATTTTTGTACTGTAGTAATATAATTTGAAATTTATTACAGTAGTATTAGCAGTTGTTGTTCGACATAATATTATTGTCTTTGATTAGGTTATACTCATAAAAATGATTCTCATAAAAATGGAAATTTGAATATCACATTTTGTACTTAATAAAAATTTTTAGAAATAATGCGTAATTAATTTGCGGATTAGGGACTTTATTACCAAATAGATTTAAAAGCGAGTTATAGAGAAATTGGGGCTTATACATATTCCTAACATATTTCGAAATTACATTGTCTATGTGCCAATATCCTTTCATAAGCAGAATGAATTGAAATGAATTATACTATAACATTAATTTTATTAATATATTTAAAATTAATATATTTATATGTAAAATTTTAATAAATCATAATTAATTTTAATTGTCATTGATATCTGTGTACTATTAACAAGCCAAGATGTGAATGACTGTCTTAGCAATTTTTATTTTAAAATATGATTATAAACAATACGGGCGCGTCAATGCTGCTGTTGCTGGAGATTTTGCTCATTTTCGATTTTTTATCTTTACAATTTTCTACTTGTTCGATGTAAAAATCCCTTTTCAGTTTCTGCGCCTCT